GTCTTGTGGAGCGCTTTCAGAGTATGCATTTATTTGTCATTTGAACTGTTTGGAAACGGAGTGTAAATGTGGAAGTCCTTCAAAGATTTCTTATTCCGTTGCGCCCTCTATAGGACCAGCGACTAGTCGACGTCAAGCTTAAAGCGTCATGGCAGAGCATTGAAGTTGATTAGTCGGTGCAACCCCTACTGACTACTGTAATCTAAAACCCCTTCAGCCAGCATCCAGTATAAAACACTCGTGCTTTTAAGCCAAATGGCTTGCTGGTTTAACATTTTTAATTTTACTGACATCTGTACGCGAGTACTATTATCACTGCCATCTCTTATGAAATCGGCCATGTTTTCTCTGCGTTAGCGCTTTTTTGAACTTAGTTTAAATGCATTTGCTTACTGGATCCTTAGACTTTCCAGGAGTTTGCCAGTTGATCTGATCGCAAAAAAAACTGCTTTTTTATTTTTATAATGTATTGTTGACGTGCCAAACGGATACATTTAGACTACTACTGTTATGCTATGTAAATATTTATTTACATTAGTTGGCATATGCGCCAATGTATGTTTCTGCCAGTGGATGCCCACACTCCAGGTTGCGTTTATTAAACTCAGGAGAGAAGGTAATTTGAGTGCACTCGTATAATGTCTGATTGATAGAAAGCGTGTCCGTTTTCTGTGAGTGAATGAATGGGAATCCAGCTGCAAGCAGAGAGATTTGCGCTCATGCATTTGATGCGCTCTTGCATAGGCAATATGCGCTCTGAACATTTGTCATTAAAATAACTCCATAGAAACCGCCTCAAACGAACTTTTAAAACGAGAAGTCGTGTCTGAAAGCTGCAATCGATTTTTTTTAATTCGTTAAATTAATGGAGAATATTGTGTTTTTCCATTTCCGTTGGTGGGACTCTAGCACTGAGGTCCGCACTTATTCCTTTGAGACGCCCACGCAGTTGTCATCAACGGGAAAAACCCCACACCCCTAATCCTAACCATTGCGTATCATATGCACCCCAAAGTCAATTTATGCATATAAATGGAACGCCAAATAGAAACAAACTTGTGGTATTGATACGCATTTTCGTAATTTACGATATAAAGCTGCATAGATTTTTATTTTAAGACAATCATATGCTCTCACGGGCCACATAAAATGATGTGGCGTGCCTTGAGTTTGACGTGCTCTAAGGGATATTTCTCCTCTTTAATGGTACTTTAAGCCTATAACGGATAGTGCCACCCTAAAATGCCTGTTTTATTTCAGATTCCTGTGAGACCAGCTGATGGTGCATCTTCCTCAAAATCTGCATCTGACGTTTCTCACCTTGTTCGCAAAAAGGTGAGTATCTATCCACTGAAGTGTAATTCAACCATTGCAGTAGACCTAGGGATGGGTGGGGGGTTTGTGGGTGAACTAGCATGCTGCAAAGTTATTAAAATTGGAGTGAATGAGTGTAGTCTGCCTCTAAAGGGGCATTTGCATTGCTACCTTCCCTTAGTTGAGGTCAATTTTGCATGCTGGGTCATGAGCTGAATTTTTTCAACTAGATTAGGTTTGGTGTCGCTCGGTGCTTCTGTGGTGTTTGGGCTTCATTATTGTCGCTTGGCATGTTGTAGTTGTGGCGTGGTGTTGAAGTGGCCATATGTGCTTGAGTAGCATGTAGAGACTAGGTGTTTAGCGCAAAAAAATAAGTACGTGTTCTGTCCTGCTTTATTCCTGCACAGAGGAAACCAGACGAGGAGAGTCCAAAAAAGGACCGTGATGCTAAAAAGAATAAACAGGAGACCTCAGTTAATGGCAGTGATGACTCCGCCCACAACGGCAATGGAGTCCAGGAGAAAATGGAGCAGCAGGCGAGTTGATAGGCTTGCTGTTTCCCCTTATGCAGTCACAGGGCGCTGGATTCTAAAATATTGGTATCGTAACATTGTTGGAATACAAGGGTCGAAACACAAACTTGAGAGGAGGACCGATTCAGCTGGATGTACTTTTTACACATACTAGCAAAATCCTATTTTAGAGGGAGTTTGTTTCTTTATCTAAATATTGGTAGACTTACTGAGCTAATGGAATTGGTTTTTGAGTATTGCATCTGAAGTTTTATCATTTGTCAAGCTTCAGTTTATTGCCTAAACCATTATTTTGAGCAGTTCTTTGCTGTTTTAATATTTTCATTTTCTCTTGCAGTCAGCCAATTCTTCCTCTGTGGAGACGTCCGCATAATGGGCATCTTCTGATCGACCACTTACCTTCCAACCTGCAGAGCATGCCTGCCTCATATACGCCATGAACAACTTTTGTCTCTTTGTTTTGTAAATAACCTGTTTTCTTTGTCTGTCCAATTTTTGTATAATTGTAGTAAACTCTGAATAAAGGATATTTGCATATGTGAATGTGGCTTTTAATATTTTACCCTTTGTTTTTAATAAGTGTTCTGCTTCAAATATAACGATGTCCAATGGAATCATAGAAGTTCATTGGCCAGAAACTTGTGGAATCCCATGATAGGATGATAATGTTTGAACTATAATAGGAGTAAAATGTTTGTACAAGTATGTGTGCGTTTCTGATTTGGTGTGAAAATGATAAAGCAGCCTTAAACGACTGTTCCTAGATCAATGGGAAGCCACACACCCACTAACACAAAACAACAACTTGGATGTACCCAGGTCAAGTAATTAACTTTTAATGTTTCATAGATGGGAGACAAAAAAACCTGTATGTAGTTACTTGAAATACAAAATGTTTGAATTTACAACTGGCTTTATTTGTATGATAATCAAATTGGTTGAATTACTCAATTTGCCCTTAACTGGTCTTTTCCAGTTGATCTGTCTGCGGCAGTGATGAAGGTCATGGATTGGATGAGGGCTGCAATGTGTTACATGGTTCTCGGTTTGAGGCCACCTAAACAAGAAAACCTTTGTAAATTTTGCTTTTAAAAAGCATCTTGAGATAGAAAATCTAAATATTTTGCCTACCATGGAAATGTACTTGTATTGGTTGGGGTCAATCTCTTCAAGGGTCTGTACATCTCCATCATGAGCATTTGCTACCCGAAGACAAAGTTCCATGTTACCCAGCTTGGAAAGAAACCGTATTTAGCCAGATTTAATTGAGTTCAAACTCCTGTAGGACATTTTTAACCTAGTTGAGATTTATGAGAAGAGATTTATGTTGATATGGCCTTAGGAAACAGACATTTAGCTCTTAGTATTTGGTGAACGTACTTGTGGCACAGAATTCAGTTGACCTGGACTTAAGGATGCTTGAACTGGGAGAGAGCGGAAGGGAAGCCTCCAGTGACCGCTGTGAACCTGGTTGTGCTGGCCAAAGAGATCAAGCTTAGCCCAGCCACAAGTCACCAAGCCCTCAGTTTCATGGTTGAACAAATCCAGACTTTTAGAAGTCTGGATCTCTACGACCAAAGAGAGATCTGGAGATGGCTGTACTCTGAAATGAAACACATATTCAATGATGTAAACATATACCAGCTCTACCTGTCCATATTTATGTCTGAATCAAACTACCTTGGCACAGGTTGCTTAACAGCCAGTATAGCATAGTTTCCAGGACTCTTGGTGGACAGTAATGGTCCTGCAGGTTGGCACTGCACAGGTGGCATTGGGGTGGACTGTCCCAACTTCTGTCCATTAAAATATAACCCTGCCAATAAACGCACTGATCTCAAAGTAGCTTCAACACCCATCACCAGGTCATAGAAGATCACAAAGCCAGTCCTGTACACACACATTCAGACGATAGCTGGATTTGAATCATATCATAATATATTTAGTGTGACGTACATGCATCTATAGGGACTAAATGAGAAAAAGAAATCAATAGAGGCCGAGGTGAAAATGTGTCTTACACAGGATCATAAGGAGCAGGACCAAGAGCTTCCAGTGGATCAGTTACATGGGAACCCATCAGCGAATGCTGTTTTGAACTCTGATCCTGCAATAATAATAATATTGGTAAATACAAAATATATGCACCACATCATTCTTCATTCCCTATCATTCTCACTATCACTCTTTTGAGATAGTGAGAATGAAGAAGGGCGTTAAATTGATTGAAAAGTGACAGCAAAGACATTTATAATATTACAAAAGATTTATATTTCAAATAATTTTTATTCTTTTGAACTCTCTATTCATTAAAGAAAAAAATTATCAATGTCCACAACAATATTAAGCATCTCAACTGTTTTAACATTGTTAATAATTAGCAATGTTGATTTTAATGATTTCTGAATGATCATGTGACACTGAAGAAATCCATCTTTGGCATTACAGGAATAAATTACATTTTAACAACAGTCTTCTAAATTATAATAATATTTCACAATATTACTATTTTTAGTGTATTTTTGATCAAATAAATGCAGCCTTGGTGAGCATAAGAGACTTCTTTCAAAAACAATAAAAGACTTACTGACCCTAAACTTTTGAATTCTGTAGTGTAATTATCATAAAGAATTAACAATACAGGTGCATCTCAATAAATTAGAATGTCGTGGAAAAGTTCATTTATTTCAGTAATTCAACTCAAATTGTGAAACTCGTGTATTGAATAAATTTATTCAACTATTTATTGAATAAATAGTTTAAGTCTTTGGTTCTTTTAATTGTGATGATTTTGGCTCACATTTAACAAAAACCCACCAATTCACTATCTCAACAAATTAGAATACTCCATAAGACCAATAAAAAAAACATTTCTAGTGAATTGTTGGCCTTCTGGAAAGTATGTTCATTTACTGTACATGTACTCAATAACTTGGTAGGGTCTCCTTCTGCTTTAATTACTGCCTCAATTCGGCGTGGCATCGAGGTAATCAGTTTGTGGCACTGCTGAGGTGGTATGGAAGCCCAGGTTTCTTTGACAGTGGCCTTCAGCTCATCTACATTTTTTGGTCTCTTGTTTCTCATTTTCCTCTTGACAATACCCCATAGATTCTCTATGGGGTTCAGGTCTGGTGAGTTTGCTGGCCAGTCAAGCACACCAACACCATGGTCATTTAACCAACATTTGGTGCTTTTGGCAGTGTGGGCAGATGCCAAATCCTGCTGGAAAATGAAATCAGCATCTTCAAAAAGCTGATCAGCAGAAGGAAGCATGAAGTGCTCCAAAATGTCTTGGTAAACGGGTGCAGTGACGTTGGTTTTCAAAAAACACAATGGACCAACACCAGCAGATGACATTGCACCCCAAATCATCACAGACTGTGGAAACTTAACACTGGACTTCAAGCAACTTGGGCTATGAGCTTCTCCACCCTTCCTCCAGACTCTAGGACCTTGGCTTCCAAATGAAATACAAAACTTGCTCTCATCTGAAAAAAGGACTTTGGACCACTGGGCAACAGTCCAGTTCTTCTTCTCCTTAGCCCAGGTAAGACGCCTCTGACGTTGTCTGTGGTTCAGGAGTAGCTTAACAAGAGGAATACGACAACTGTAGCCAAATTCCTTGACACGTCTGTGTGTGGTGGCTCTTGATGCCTTGACCCCAGCCTCAGTCCATTCCTTGTGAAGTTCACTCAAATTCTTGAATCGATTTTGCTTGATTCACAACAATCCTTACGACAATCCTCATAAGGCTGCGGTTCTCTCAGTTGGTTGTGCATCTTTTTCTTCCACACTTTTTCCTTCCACTCAACTTTCTGTTAACATGCTTGGATACAGCACTCTGTGAACAGCCAGCTTCTTTGGCAATGAATGTTTGTGGCTTACCCTCCTTGTGAAGGGTGTCAATGATTGTCTTCTGGACAACTGTCAGATCAGCAGTCTTCCCCATGATTGTGTAGCCTAGTGAACCAAACTGAGAGACCATTTTGAAGGCTCAGGAAACCTTTGCAGGTGTTTTGAGTTGATTGGCATGTCACCATATTCTAATTTGTTGAGATAGTGAATTGGTGGGTTTTTGTTAAATGTGAGCCAAAATCATCACAATTAAAAGAACTAAAGACTTAAACTACTTCAGTCTGTGTGCATTGAATTTATTTAATACACGAGTTTCACAATTTGAGTTGAATTACTGAAATAAATGAACTTTTCCACGACATTCTAATTTATTGAGATGCACCTGTATATTGGTACTATAATGGTTATTGGCTGATTATTTTGTTATTTTTTAATTATTGGATCTTGGACATTTTGATACATAAATTTTGATACTGTATATAGTATAGAATTGTAATATCATCCATCTCTCAGTTATAGACATAATGAAAATAGGTAGTATCAAAGATAATTTTTTGCACTCTGATATATCACATTAACCCAACAGATATTCCATCAGTATTAATTAAGATGCCTGAAGCTTTGTCTCACCAGTGGCAGATCAGGGTGTGTTACGGCCATAGAAGATCCAGGAAAAACAGATAGAGGAGCTTGAGGATGGCGTGGTCTTCTCTCTCGGTCCTTCTCTTTTTCTCTTCTTGAAAAGGCCATCTCAGCATGGAGGCTAGCCATTTGATGGATATGGTCGTTCCGGATATCAATGAGCCCTGATCCAGAAAATATGAATTCAAATATTCAAATAATATACTGAAATATTCAAATATTATTAATATATTCAAATAATATCAAATGTTATGACCATATAATGTTAGTGCATAGTTTAAGCATGCAAATTAGACAACACATAACTAACACATTTCTATCAAATGTTGAACATCACTTTATTATTCATCATGTCATGCTCAAGATTTCAGATCTCAGAGGAACAGATACCATGCTCTCTGTGCTTCTCCCTGGCCAGCTGGATTCTGAAGATTTCCTCCTCAAGACTTTGGTTCTCCTGCTCCACAGCAAGAACATCAGGGTCCAACACTCTGTGAGGAAACTTCATCCCTGGCAGGACAGAAATGAGATATGACCCTGGATCCTAAAGAATAGTGTACAATGACCCCCAAAAATATTCAGACTCATTGACTTCTTTGAAAAACATTAAAATGTTCATACATTCATTCATACATACAGTACATTCATAGGCTGCATTTATTTGATCAAGTTCAGTAAAAACTAATATTATTATTTTTTTAAATACAGTAAAATCAGTAATATACAATTTAATATAACTGTTTTCTATTTTATTATGTTTCAAAATATAATAAAATTGTATTCCTTTTTTTATAATAAAAAAAAAATTCCTGTGATGGCAAAGCTGAATTTTCAGTAGCCATTACTCCCTATTTGCAGCCACAGTTCAATGACAGTGATGATGGTACTGCTCACTTCTTCCTTTTGTCTTGCTTTGAGCTCTATGTTTTGCCTGCTCCAGTGTAAGAGCCTCTGCTTGAAGGTCATGCATATGGGCCAGAACCTCTGGATCAGAACCACCGGACTGCATGTATGCCAGACGCAAAGCTCTGTTTCAAAAACAAATACACCACAATGCTCAAGTGGTCTGGATGGTTGCTAAAGTTGCACTAAACGTTTGCTAGGGTGTATTGGCTGTGTTGTGTTTAGGAGGTTTCTTGGCAGTTCTTAAAAGAGCCCAATCCTAAGACTTAAAAGCCTATTATTGTTCCTAGATTTGATATGCATACTTCCTTCAATAATGTAAGTGCATGTTTTTTGTCACTTCTTTTATCATCCTGGCAACATGTAAGTTAAAAAGACCAACCTTATCTGAGCAGAGAGAGGTCCAGCCACAGAAGAGATCAAGTCAAAAGTAATATGTTGTGTCTTCTTTTCCTCTGGTGGGTTAGAGGGGACTTCAATTGGATTAGGCCTACAACACCAGCGCAGTATAAACATGCATAAATTGATTTATAGCTTCTCTGCACATTTCCTTTTTCCTCCACTCTCTCTTACCCTTTCATTGAGTTGATGTGAGAGCTGAGCTGCTGCAGCACCTCCTCGTTCCTCTGTTCCTGATTCCTCAGTTCTCGCAGCACTTCCTCGAGATGAGCCGTCCTCTCCCGTCCTGCCAGCTCGGCAAGCCGCTCTTCTATTTCTGGGATAAACACATCATTAAAAAAAAGTAGTGCAGAAGAAATTCACATCAACATGTTCAGAGGTGTTTCAACCAATCACAACATGAGTTTGCAGTTGCTAAGTGAAACAGTGTGACAACATTTTGGGGTCCCATTTAAGCCTGTAGACTTTAAAAAACAAACTATTTTCAAACTCTTCAGCATTCTGTGGTAGGAAAGACATTTCAAAACATTTTGGGTAAAAACTCTAGCTAATTTAATTTCTAGCATTTTATGTATGCTAAATGCACACCTTTAAATAAAAGTTTCACACATTTTACAACTTGATTGAAAATATGAATAAGTGATTTACCACATGTGATCTTCAAATAACAAAAGTTTTCAATAACTTTACCAAAACCACAAAAATTCACTTTTGGCACATAACACAGAAACAATTGGGAGTACATTTTGGTAGTAAATTTGCAAAGAATCAGCAAGTAACATATTGAATTAGAAGTGAAATTCTAAAGAAGAAAAACGTTAATATTTTCTTGTAAAACACTTTTTTACGGTGTAGTTGAAAACTCAGTTTTTGTCCAAACAAAACTAAATAAACTCTACAATTATTGTTGCTAATTGTGAATATATGTACATCCAAAAACAATAGCTTTCTTTTCTCATTCTTATGACAGCAGTTACCCTCTCTCTGCTTCTCCAGCTGATGGTTGCATGCTCTGATCTCAGCCAGTCTCTGCTCATGAAGAGCCCTGTGCTCATCAGCTCTCTGCTGGAGTGAGGCCTGCTCCTCAGACACCTGAAGAACAACTTACCCAATGTCCAAAACACGTAATACCACATACACAAGCACAATATTCACATTATAAACAGATTTATAGAACTAAGCATATCAAACTGACCTCTGTCTGTCTTCTGGGCAGGTTTTGTTCAAATGAAATCCTGAGTTTTTGAAACTAAAACAGAAGATCATCAGATGGAGCATAAAAACCACTCTGAACCAGATTTAAGTTTGTATGTGGTCCTGTACCTCCTCAGTGAGTTTGTTTAGTGCAGTATTCTCTGACACATTGTCCTGTGCACTTTCGCTCTCATGATTTCTCTGTTCCTTCAGCTGGCCAATGGAACAAGAAACATTTTTACTAACTGTATTACTTTAAAATTTTTGGGTAGGTATGATTTTTTTTCATCTTGAATCAGTACTTCAATATTTGAGCAACTGTTTATTAACTGCTCTGTTTATTCAAATTATATATATATTTTTTATAATACACTCTGCAGGTTATAATCAACTGCAGGTTTTTGGAAAAATTTTATAATATTAAACTACTTACAATAATTAAATCAGGTGTCCTTGTCCTTGTAGGATGCACCGTCTTCACAGCTGCTTGTTCTTTTTGAGTGAATCCCCTTTGACCTCTCCATAGAGCTACTGGATCTTTTAGGTCTGTGCCAATGCAGAATTTGGCCGTGTGTTTATCCAAGAGTCCAGTAGAATGGAATGCCATCTTACAGTTCCGACAAATTAAGTCCCCCAAACCTTCCATCTCTCCAGCAAATTATTAAAGTTAGCAACTTTTTCCCTATTGAAATTCTAAACTGGACCCAGCTAGACTGATTCTTAAAAAATAGGAATATACTTTTTGTTAGAATGTCTGCCTTAACTTATATGTACTGGATTTGTTGACTGAAGTTTTGTTTGTTGGTTACAATCACCTTGGAAAAGGGGAGTGGTAAAGAATGGATGGGGTTAGAGCAAGAGGAATCCAACCCTTCAGTGCTATGCTTATTATTTTTATCCTTTGTGTGCATATTTTGAATATTATCAACTGCCCTCCTAAAACATGAAGAATGATTCCCCAAGTGTTTCAGCAGAAAACGAAAGGCTGGACATGTTTGGCAAACTGATGCAAAATATTTATTAAATTTTTTTTCTCCGATCTTTTCATTATGATGCAGTAGTTTATGTCTGCTTTGTCTCATACAGATAAACCCATACATGACACCTTTTATCTTCTCAAATCTGTAAATAATGTTATCAAAATAATCTTAATCTTCCAAAACTCACAATTTTTTATTCTTATATTTTTTACAATCCACCCTGAATATCAAGGCTGCAGCAACAACATAATGCAAACAAAAAAAGAAAAAGAAAAAAATATTTATGTGGGAATTTTTTTTACAGCTGCACCAAAATTAAAAAAGAAACTTAAATCTGTAATAAAGCAATTTTTATACCCTATCAGCAAAAACAAGGTACAAAAAAAAGGAGATGCACAATTTACACCAGCAGTCCCTCATGAAATAAAGAACTTCTAGAGATGGATCTCTACTTCACTGCCAGCAGCAGGGATAGAACTCCGCGCTCAAAATGAACCTCAAATGAACTGTTTAAAGAACAAAATAGCAGAACAAAGCGTGCAAGCCATCTTACCGAATCGCTCAAAGAAAGTTCACAGTCATTACAAACCATAGACAGCTCGGATCAATTCCTGCATTATAAATATTACATAAGCCCAATAATGTTTAATGCTTTCTATTCCATTGGGTAGATTTTATTTGGGTTTTGTGAGGGAATAAGATCATCAAACCTTTCTTTTGTTTATTGAATACCCCTTATCAATCTACATGCAATGAATGTAAAGCTATTGAAAATGATTGCCACAGCATTATTTCTGTAAGCATGAAAATGCTTTTTAAAGAGTAACTGAAATGTTCAGGATTTCAATATGGTTTAAATTGAGGTTATTCAGGAAAAAAAAAAAACTAAACCATATACGGGCAAGAAAGAAAAGAGTCTGTTTATGATTTTTTTGAACTTCAATCTTTCCTAAACAGAACCCAACCTCAGTGAACTGAACATCTGTATGTTCGCCTGGCTTCCCAGAACGCAACATATAAAACATAGACCCTTGCATCCAAACATTACCTTTATTCAAAAACCAGCTCCTGACAAACTCTTCCGCAAGTTAGGTTTCAAATCTAACTTTTAAACATCCTTTAAGGTTTTCTCACACGTGTACTTGACAGACATATGAAATCAGGTATATTAGTATGATTCTGCAGAATGAAAAGTGTGAAAATGAGCAGTTTGCTGGAAATGGAGCCAGAAATGGACTGATGTTCTAGCTGCCAGACTACATGTGACAGTCCATTCAGTGTTGCTTTAGTTCCTCCTTGCTGCAGGGATGACTGGCTTGAGTTCATTTCTATGAGGGACTGGGAGCAATGTCGCAGTCAGCGGCTCACAATGATTGTTTCATCTTAACACTAATGCTACGAATTGTTTTCGCGGAAAGGAAAAAATATTTTTTAGAAAGGTGTCAAAGCCATTTTATAGAACATTCAGATAATGTCATATTTCACGTTAAATCACGGTTATAATTGGTGTTATTATTATGAATTAGTCTTTTTTTCCCCAAGCAAAAACAAAAAAGATCTGGTGGAGGGTGTGTGTGGGTTTGTTTGACATTTCTAGTTCAGGAGAAAGAACAAAATGCAGACAAGGAGAGAGGGGGCAAAAAATCTAACAGAAAGACACTGCCTATGAGCTGACAAGTGAATTCTTTTTCTCTCCGCCTGGGATATGACCGATGTTCCTTGTCCATGAAAAGAATCTTTTCTCTCTTCTTCCTTTAGTTTGAAATAAATGGGTGTGATGGAGGAGACAGATTAAGGGAAAGAGAGAAAGGGAAATGTGGGAGGGGTGTTTAAAGCCACATTAGGTATCCTCATCATCGGAGGTCTGGCTGCTACTGCTCGTCTCAGACTCAGAGCCCTCTTCCAGGTCAGGGTTAGGGGTGTTCCTCCAGTTTAGCAGGGCCACACTACGTGGCTTCAAGAGCACACCGTTACGTCCCAGACCAATCTTCTTCATCTGAGACAAAACACAAACATACTCAGTCACAGAGGAAATGAACTATAAATGTGTAGGATGCACTTAAATTTAAACCAAGAAAATAAAAAAGTGAAATAGAAACTATATGTATACATTTCCCATACCTGTTCAGTTTTAGCTTGAAACTCTTTGAGTTCATCCTCAGTGAGGGGCTGGAAGTTTTCATCATTTTCTGGGTATTCTTGCCATCCCATTGCCTTCAGCAACCTGTCACAGAGGATCCATGTGTGTGAGTATGTGCATTGTGGATGTTGTCTATGTTGTTGGGACGTGAGGGGATCAATGTGAGGCTCTGTTCAAAAACCTAGTGTGATGCCTATGAAGGTAGCATTACACTATAAATGTGTCCCTAAGGGACCAAAGATACCTGATTTTGGCCAAATTATAAGGAGCCATTGCATGTATCCTTCATGAGAAAATTGATTTGAGATGCAATGTGATGAAGCTCAGTTAAAAAATAAATTCAATGTGGTGGTTGAAACAAGAGATATTTGCTTGTAAATAAGTATATTTAATTGCTAGTTTAGCAACATGCTATTTGCCAACTCATGAACCCAGTAGTCTTCCATATGCACGAGAAGCGGTATTTGTATAATACATGGCATTGCTGCCCATGTAAAATTCACCCAAAAATGAAAATTCTGTCATCATTTACTCACCCTTGTGTTTTTTTTTTCAAATCTGTATGTATTTTGTTCTTCTGCTGACCAGAAAATATTTTTAAGATATATTTTAATGCTTCATTTCGGTTCCCATTGACTTTCATTATATTTTTGTCCACACAATACAAGTCAATGGGAACCTGAACTGTTTTGAAGATTATTCAAAACAAAACATTTTTTGTGTTTCACAGAAGAAAGAAAGTAACACTCAACATGACTGAGTAAATGATGACAGATTTTTCATGTTTGGGTGGACATTCACTCATTCACTCATGTAGGCAATTCACTAGAATCTGGAAGTGAGCTTATATGTGTCTGATGGAGGAGAATGCTTTGAAGTGTTTGTATGTGGTCGCTCTGACCTGTGTTCCGCCTCCAGAGAGCTGGACAAGTGCTCTGGGTCTGAGTCACTGAGAGAGTGGGAGATGCCGTTCTCATGACTCTCTCCAAACTCTTTTGGTTCTGGGGTACTTCCCTCTCCCTAAACACAAAGATAAACCACAAATTAAGCCTCAGCAAACATAAATTTAAGGAAATCTTTGAATCTTTCCATTTATTAGCCGTTTTGGAAATCTGGTTGCTCATGGCTAATATAATGCTTATAAACAAAACGGATGGAAATAATTTTTATATATTACATAATTTTACCTTCTAATCCCCCCACAAAAAAAATAAATAAATAAAAAATTTAAAGAATTTGTGACCCTGGACCACAAAACCAGTCTTAAGTCGCTGGGGTATATTTGTAGCAATAGCCAAAAATACATTGTATGGGTCAAAATTATTGATTTTTTTTTTATGCCAAAAATTATTAGGATATTAAGTAAAGATCATGTTCCATGAAGATATTTTGTAAATTTCCTACTGTAAATATATTAAAACTTAATTTTTGATTAGTAATGTGCATTGCTAAGAACTTCATTTGGACAACTTTAAAAGGCAATTTTCTCAATTTTTAATTTTTTTAGCACCCTCAGATTCCAGATATTCAAATAGTTGTATCTCGGCCAAATATTGTCCTATCCTAACAAATCATACATCAATTGAAAGATTATTTATTCAGCTTTTAGATTTTGACCCTTATGACTGGTTTTGTGGTCCAGGGTCACATTTATTGACAAGGATGTAGGTGGATTTGGAACTAATATAAACAGGATTTCTCCAAATCTGTTAATAAGCCAATTCTTATAATCTTAAACCGAGCCTGTAATGACAAATTAATTAACCTATTACATCAGCTAATATTCTACAGATCAGAGATGAATTCATGTGCACCTCTGTTGGAGCTCCTGGGCTGTGGCAGTCACTCACATCCCCATTTCTCTCATCCTTTAGCCCACGCAGGAACTCACTCTTACGGTCTGTGCTGCGCCGCATCAGCTTTAGCCGTGAGGGGGTGATGTCTATGGGAGGGGTAGTGCTGGAAGGCGGCTATGGAGAGAGAGAGAGAGAGAAGGAGAGATGGAAAGATAAACACGAGTTAAAAATAAGAAAATGCTGGGTAAGCAGCCATGTTGATTATTGATGTTCTCCTATGGATAAACATGATAACGTTTGTTTGATGAATAACAGAATACTGAAGCGTAGAGCAGCTCTGTGTTGTAAACATTTTTCTTTCATTCTTCATCTGCTTGTGTGTTTTGTAAATAGAGGAATTATATAATGACACCATGAAAGCATTTTCTCTGAAATGAAGCCAAAAGCAATCATATTTTCTGGAAATGTTGGGTACTAGGTCCTTACTGGCAAAAGATTAGAAGGAATTTAGAAGGTCTGGTAACACTTTATTTTAAGGACCAATTCACACTATTAACTAGCATGCAGATTAATAGCATATTGGCAGCTTATTAGTACTTATAAAGCACATATTACTGCCTTGGTCCCACTTTATATTAAGTGGCCCTAATACCTGTGTACTTACATAGTAACTAGATGAGTACGTAGTATGTAACCACAGTGTAAGTACACATTGGTACACAGTATCTAC